AGCTTTTAGAGATGGCGATGCCTTTGGACATGGCGATGTATCTGATGAGAATGGTTTGGTTTTCACTGAGTGGTTGGGTCTTCACTTGTTTGTCGATCGCCGACGAGATCGCTGGTTCACTTAGAAACGGAGATATTGGTCCTTTCCATGTCGGATGATCGATTCGAGATTCGTTTTTGGTTCTTCCTTATGTGCGTATATGTTCTTATCTTCCCCAATTTTTGTTCTTTGTTTGTTTTCGATTAGAGTCGTTTCATATGTCAAAATAATTATGATATCATGTACAAAACAATTATCTTCTAACCTGTGCAAACGATTAAAGATGTAATAAGAACAAATATATTAGCTTACTACCGAACAGAGTATAAGAGATAGAGGTGACATCAGAAGACATTGGAGATTATTTACTTTGTTTTGATCTTACAACAGAGAGATTTGGACCCCCTTTGCCTTTGCCTCTGCCGTTTAGCCCTGTCGAGGAGAAGAAAGTCGTTGCTTGCATCGTGGGAGATGATGGATACTTCAAATCTGTCAACACCGAAGTAACTTGGAATTCGCAGCGGAAACGTGTGTGCTCCTCTTATGTTCCAAGTTTAGTTCAACTTTGTGTGCTTCAGAACACCGAGATGCAAAGGCCGAGGAGGTACAGTGGACTGCAGTCTTGGGATTTAGATGGCGTTTCCCGACACTGACAAACACTCGGAGGCCTACAACTCGTGGTATGAAGTTGAGAGTCTTAAGCAACATTCTCTTTACGGTCTGTATTCAAACCTCAAGAGCTCATTCGCCAACCAGTTCAATCATTTCTTTTGAGCTTCTTTAACTTTTAACGGCAATTCTCCTCAATCATCATTTGGTTTACTCGGTTTTACCGCTAAACCGATAGCAATTCTCCTCTTCCGCTCATTAACTCCATTACCAATGATGCAATTCTGTCTCATTTTTTAGAAGAAACAGAACTATATAAATTCAAAATGCATTATTGTCCCGTCTCACCAAATTTTTACCAGGAGTTGGGACACAGCGGTATGCCTTATGTCCGTCCCATTCGTTGATATACCAAGTTTTTTCAGGATGTTGTATGTAACAGAAATTTGATGGTACAATCAGCAGAATTGCAGAAACTTTGTGTGTTCTCATTAACGCTTGACCTTCACAGATTGTGAGTTAGGCCTTTACTGTATTGTACTATCATTCATGGTGCACACAGAGAAATGAAAACCCATTCTTTTTACACATCAATCAGTTATAGATTGTGTTTCTGTTAAGACCCAAACCGAAACCAAATCGTTTCTTAGAAGCAGTTCTAGACACTAACTATGCAGTTCTAGAGAGACTATGCCAACGATACTCCTCCGGAGTCTGGTCTCGGCGGGGAAGAGATGCTACAAGCCAGTGGCTGACCTAAGATTTTTTTTGTTTTAACTGGTTCAGTAATT